CAAGCAAAACTGTGTGTGCCTAAAGAGGATGCATACCAAGCTGAACATATACCAGAGTGAACACACACACTTTCAGAGCCCTGGCAGCATCCGTTACAGGCACAGTAAAAGTGCCCATGGAAAATGTTTCACAACTACTAGTGTGCTTAAGCTGGTCTATCTTCTTTCTCTTTGTCTCCAGTCTAACAAATGCACCAGACAGTCGAATAGGCCTGCTCCAAGTTTATGGACTGCCTTTAAAAAAAAGGCATGCACCCATAAACACATACACAGGGAGGGAAGAAATTGGGTGGCGGGGGGTTAAACTTGACTGGGTGTATAGGTCAAATTTAGATTAGGTTTTAGTTGGCATCTTTGGCTTAGGCACTGCCAACACTTCATATTTCTAAAGTTCTGAGTTCAATCCCAGCTGCTGGCGATCTGGCAGCAGACCATGGGGCACTGGTTGTGACAGAGATATCCAGAGGCAATAAATTAGTAAGCAATGCAAACTACAAAACATTAAACTGCCTAGTGAAATCACAGTCACAAGATAATGAGGCTGGGTCTGGAACATCCTGTAAGGTAACCACAGCTAGCCTAGGTTTGGCTGGTCAGATGCTAGTCATTAATAGTACTGCTTCGCAGATCACTTCTTTTTCTTTTCCACCTTATATCTCAGGAAGTGTCGGGAGGAGATGTAACATTTGTTAATGAGCTTTGTCAACAGCACTATTAAGACTGATGTTCATTTCTGTAAGACTGTTCTTAATCCCATCACTCTATATTTTCTGAGGTCTTCTCACTCGCTCTATACCCGTTGTAATGTTTTAGTGTGGCTCGCTGTGGCAGATAGTACCAGGGCATTCTTGTTAGGTGTCTCAGATCAATGATATTTAATAATGGTGAAACTGTGCACAAACAGCATTAGCATCATCCTGGTGTGTCATTTATGCAACACTTAGGGCTTTCAGTCGATTTCTCCATCCACTGAATCCAGTCCAGCTGTTTTGGTCTCTCTCATCAACATTCTTTTCTGGGTTTCTCTTGGATGTCAGGCAGGCATGAGCCTACTTTACCTTGCATCAAGTCTTCTCCAACAATTAAACAAAAAGGAAATGTCCGTTTCAAACAAACATCTGTCACAAAAATAAATAGATATAGCAACTCACCAATGAGAAGCTTGAGTACTCCAGCTCCACTACTGCCCATACTGAAGCGTCCTGTGTTCAGAACTCGCATTGCAATCTGGCAACAGAAAATCATGCATCTGTATCACCTGAGAAGTAATCCAGTCGGTGTTTTGAATAGAACGATTTTAAATATATCATCCTGAATGGCTAGAGATAAGATAACTGAAATGATGAAAAAAGGAAAGAGAAAAATGAACGGAGTTACCAGACCACTTACCTTGAATCCCTCTCCAACTTCACCGATAACATTTTCTACGGGTACAGGAGTGTTGTCAAAGTTCACTTCACAAGCTGCAACAGAACAAGTACAGACAACAACATGATAGATAAAGCAATCACTGAGGTTGTTAAAGTTCACTTCACAAGCTGCAACAGAACAAGTACAGACAACATGATAGATAAAGCAATCACTGAGGTTGTTAAAGTTCACTTCACAAGCTGCAACAGAACAAGTACAGACAACATGATAGATAAAGCAATCACTGAGGTTGTTAAAGTTCACTTCACAAGCTGCAACAGAACAAGTACAGACAACATGATAGATAAAGCAATCACTGAGGTTGTTAAAGTTCACTTCACAAGCTGCAACAGAACAAGTACAGACAACATGATAGATAAAGCAATCACTGAGGATGTCAAAGTGCACTTCACAAGCTGCAACAGAACAAGTACAGACAACATGATAGATAAAGCAATCACTGAGGTTGTTAAAGTGCACTTCACAAGTTGCAACAGAACAAGTACAGACAACATGATAGATAAAGCAATCACTGAGGTTGTTAAAGTTCACTTCACAAGCTGCAACAGAACAAGTACAGACAACATGATAGATAAAGCAATCAATGAGGTTGTTAAAGTGCACTTCACAAGTTGCAATACAACAAGTACAGACAACAACATGATAGATAAAGCAATCACTGAGGTTGTTAAAGTGCACTTCACAAGCTTCTGTGAGCTGTTGTCATTGCCCATGACTTACACCCATAGGTCAGGACTGGTACATAGGCAGAGCGGCAAACAGCCATTTTCGTCCTCTTGCTAGTTTCTCTTTTGCTGAGAAACCCTGGGTTTATGGCCTAGAAAAGTCTCCTAGCAGTTGCTAGGAGCCAACTCTACTTAAAGTAATGTAATATATATTCTTAGAAGCTAGAGCACATCTGCCAGAGAGGTAAGGAACTAACAGTCTGGCAACAAATAAGCCAGATCTGTAAGACAGATGTGCATGCAAAACACAAGATCTGGACCAAGATTAAAGTCCAGAAGTAGACAAAAACACAACTTTATGTCGGAGTTTACAGCCAGTGAACATGAAGAAGAAGGAATGTAATATATGACAAGTATATTTTTATATGACACAGATTTCACCAATAAATATATCACAATGAGCCGGGGCTGATTTAAACTTGATGAGGCCCTAAGAAATATGAGGCCCTGGGGTCCTTACTATTTTAAATTACTCCAGCTGATTTAGAAAACTGTACAATATATATGCCTTTTAAATATATGGATGACGGAAATATATTGTCATTTAATTTTTAGTAAAAGAAATAATAAAGAATATGTCTGCAAAATCAAATAAATTATATTTCATAATGGTTACAGTTTCCATTAAAAGAAAACTGCATTTGTTTAAACCAAAAGAAAGGTGGAAAGGGGGGGGGTTGGGGGGGGTCTTTTGGGGGGGGGGGGGGGGGGGTATCTGAGGCCCTTGCAGACTGTGAGGCCCTGAGCTACAGCTTATTTATTTAGCTCATGCCTAAATGCAGCACTGGTAATGAGTAACTAACTCACTGTTAGATCCCCGGATGCCAAGTTTATCCTCAGGTTTCCCGCTGGTCACCCCTCCAAAAGCTCGCTCCACAAAGAAAGCTGTGACTCTCTGTTTGGTCTCACCCTGTGAATGACAGCAATAATGCCTTATAAATAAAATGTAGCAAGGAAAATTCATCATCATCATGTGCCCTGCCAGCTGGCGTAGGCACACATGCATCTCCACAGATCACGATCCCTGGTTGACTGGAACAGCTCTCATGACATCCCTCCAAGTCATCGTTTCACCCCATCCCAAGAAACATTACCACCCCCCCCCCCACAACAACAAAAAAACAACCTTATGACTTGGGGTGTAGAGGTTTGTCAGAGAGATCACCAGACTTTTCTATCAACAGTACTCTTTCTGGCTTTGTTCCATTCCAGCCCTCTCTCAGTCAAGGATTGTTGGATGCTGTCTTCCCAGCGGACCCTGGGTAACCCTGGATGTCTGGTTCCCTGGCTCTAAACTTCCATGCCTGCCGAGCAGGATTCTGGAGTCAATTTTGCCAGGGCCTGAGTTTTGTGTGTACATCCATTTTACTGGCTTATTTGTGTGCAGTGAGTTGTTCCCTGCCATTCAGGCAAATACACACTGACTTCAAAGGAAGCTCCCAATTAGTCAACTCTTACAACATGCTAATGGGTAGGTGTTGTGTGCTAAATGAGTTACCACTAGCCAGCACACTACCAAGCGTCTAGCAGGTATCCTTCAGCTTCCTCTCTTAGAAATAGAACTCGACGACGATGACACCATCATACATTTTATTTAACATGATACATGACACAAAAGCAGAGACGTAGTTACTGATCACAGGTGACATTCGCACATCGTCCATTTGTCCTCACTCGCTCTCTCTCCTTCAATTTGTAGCGACCTCTCCTTGACTACTACAGCTCCAAGGACTACAGCGTCCCACACTATGGACGCGCCATACAGCTTAACAGGACGAATTCTCACATTTCCTGGACCTTGATATTATTTCAGCATATTACACGACTGACCGGAGACGGACTTCCCTGCCGAACTCCGAAACCACACAGCTGTCGTCAGCTTGTCGCCGGCTCCGATGACCGACAGGACTTCTACCGTCCCCGCTAGCACACAGCTCTCGACGTTACCACTCCACTTTGTTCTGTTTCAGTAGTGGTCCTCCTACGTTTCACTACGTCGCCACCCAGAACAGGTACTACTGGAGCCTTCCGTTCCCTGGACTTACTTTGCCAGTGGGACCATATCTTCTTAAGTACCGCAACCTTGACACTCACTCAGACCTAAATGCCTGATAGTCGTACGGTATTCTTGTCTGTTAGACTCGCGAGAGATATCACGGACCCTGACTTGGTCTCTGTCTCTCGATCTCTCTCTCTCTCTTCTCGCTTCTCTCTCGACTGCACCTCGATTCCCTCTCAGCCCTCCAATTTATCCCCCTCAAATCCGTGTAGGTGGATGATGTCTACACGAGAGGCATGCTCGTATGGGCGTTCTCGTGACTCATGATCCCGTGGGTGTTCTTGAGGCTGATGCTATCTGAGAATCACGCTGTCACTTAATTCACACTTTATCTTGTCAGACATGCTCTTAGCCCCCACACAGTAACCCACGCGTCCACTTTCTCTCATGCGTGCGCGCCTTGTTCATGAATAGACATTCTCACTGGTCTCCTCTCAATACTCGGACCATGTTGACACTATTTTCCCCGTGAACTCACAGAAAGTACTGGCATACCACTGTCCTTTCACACACTTTACCCAAATCAGCGCGCAACAGTAGGCAATAAGTCTTTTGTTGTAACCCCACAATGGGGCCCCAGAACCCACATGTGGTGAAGTGCCTCTTCTATTTGTACACTGACAAACCACAAATCATCTCCCTGTTTCGCTGCACAAAAGTTTAGGAGACAATGTCTGGGAACCAAACTCTGGACATCCACATGGCAGGTTGGTGTGCTAACACATGCATGCTAAAACGCTACTAACTGAAACATACATGTCTGGACATAAGCTGTATGAGACTGTCTATGGCTGACTGCATGCACATGGCTGACTGCATGTATATGGCTGACTGCATGTACATGGCTGACTGCATGTACATGGCTGATTGCATGTACACAGCTGACTGCATGTACATGGCTGACTGCATGTACATGGTTGGCTGCATGCAGATGGCTGATTGCATGTACACAGCTGACTGCATGTACACAGCTGACTGCATGTATACTGCTGACTGCATGTACATGGCTGACTGTATGTACATGGCTGACTGCATGAACATGGCTGACTGCATATATATGGCTAATTGCACCTACATGGCTGATTGTACCTACACGGCTGATTGCATGCGGATGGCTGACTGCATGTACATGGCTGACAGGATGTACATGGCTGACTGGATGTACATGGCTGACTGCATATATATGGCTAATTGCACCTACATGACTGACTGCATGTACATGGCTGACTGCATATATATGGCTAATTGCACCTACATGGCTGACTGCACGTACATGGCTGACTGCACATACATGGCTGACTGCATATATATAGCTAATTGTACCTACACGGCTGATTGTACCTACATGGCTAATTGCACCTACATGGCTGACTGCATATATATGGCTAATTGTACCTACACGGCTGATTGCATGCGGATGGCTGATTGCACCTACATGGCTAATTGCACCTACATGGCTGACTGCATATATATGGCTAATTGTACCAACACGGCTGATTGCATGCGGATGGCTGATTGCACCTACATGGCTAATTGCACCTACATGGCTGACTGCATGTACATGGCTGACTGCATGTACACGGCTGACTGCATGTACACAGCTGACTGCATGTACATGGCTGACTGCATGTACATGGCTGACTGCATGCAGATGGCTGACTGCATGTACATGGCTGACTGGATGTACACAGCTGACTGCATGTACATGGCTGACTGCATGTACATGGCTGACTGCATGTACATGGCTGCATATATATGGCTAATTGTACCAACACGGCTGATTGCATGCGGATGGCTGATTGCACCTACATGGCTAATTGCACCTACATGGCTGACTGCATGTACACGGCTGACTGCATGTACACAGCTGACTGCATGTACATGGCTGACTGCATGTACATGGCTGACTGCATGCAGATGGCTGACTGCATGTACATGGCTGACTGGATGTACACAGCTGACTGCATGTACATGGCTGACTGCATGTACATGGCTGACTGCATGTACATGGCTGACTGCATGAACATGGCTGACTGCATATATATGGCTAATTGCACCTACATGGCTGATTGTACCTACACAGCTGATTGCATGCGGATGGCTGACTGCATGTACATGGCTGACTGCATGTACATGGCTGACTGCATGTACATGGCTGACTGCATGTACATGGCTGACTGCATATATATGGCTAATTGCACCTACATGGCTGACTGCATGTACATGGCTGACTGCATGTACATGGCTGACTGCATGCAGATGGCTGACTGCATGCAGATGGCTGACTGCATGTACATGGCTGACTGCATGTACATGGCTGATGCACATATATGCTGATTGTATGTACATGGCTGACTGCATGTACATGGCTGATTGTATTATCTCTGACTATAAGTATATGGCTGACTGTGTGTAATGTCTGATTGTAAGTATATGGCTAACTGTGTGTATACAGTTTATTGTGTGTTTATGACTGACGAAATGTATGATCTCTAGGGAGAACTGTGAAGCTTACAGCTGACCAGAAACAAATCAGGAACAGACCTGATAGCATTCTCTGTTCTATACGCACTGAAATCATGACAAAGACAATCACTCTTCTGCATGCTATCAGACTGAGATATGTCTTCAGTTATGTGTCCTCTTCATGGCGTTACAGCAGCAGAAGGTGGATCATTTTACCACAGCACAGTAGAAGGTAGATGTACAATCACTCTATCACATCACAGTAGAAGCTAGATGTACAATCACTGTACCACAGCACAGTAGAAAGTAGGTCTACAATCACTGTACCACAGCACAGTAGTAGGTGTACAAACCACAGCACAGCAGAAGGGGTACAATCATTGTACCACAGCACATTAGAAAGTAGGTATACAATTACTCTACCACAGTACAGCAAAAAGTAAGTCCATAATCACTGTACCACAGCAAAGTAGAAAGTAGACGTACAATCACTGTACCACAGCACAGTAGAAGGTGTACAATGACCATACCACAGCATAGTAGAAGAGAGTGGAGTTTACAGCTGGTGAACTATAAGTAGCAGAAGAAGAAGAATAATCATGGAATCAACTGAAGAAACAAACATGCTTTATCTGACAGACAACAGGAGCAGCACACAGGCACTGCAAGGCAGGCTCATTCTCACCTCTAGTGTTGTGACATCAGTTTTAGCAAAGACTGTGAACACATCCGCAATGCCTCCATTAGAGATCCACAGTTTGGACCCGGTCAAATGCCAGGTCTTCCCATCCTCGGAGAGGGTAGCTTTTGACTGGATGGAGGCTGCATCACTGCCACTGTTAGTGAGTAAAATTAGAGCAACAGTATCTAGAGACAAATGAAATCCTACCAACACAAAATATAGATCAGATTTAGACAATAATACAATTGCTAATTGAATATGTTTAAATAGCCAATGTGTTCCTCTCTTCTTTAAATTCACAGTAAATGTCTTTCTGTTTTTCTTGTCACTGCTTACCTCCTACTGTTATCATTCAATGAATACCGCATTCTTCCACTCTCATGTTATCAGTAAGTGAATAACGCATTCTTCTTCCATTCTCATGTTATCAGTAAGTGAATATCACATTCTTCCACAATGATGTTATAAGTCAGTGAATACTGCGTTCTTCCACTCTCATGTTATCATTCAGGGAATATCTCATTCTTCTTCCACTCTCATGTTATCAGTCAGTGAATATTGCATTTTTTCACTGTGATGTTATCAGTTAGGTAATATCACAATCTTCCGCTATCAGCCAGCCAGACAGAGAGAGAGAGAGAGTGAGAGAGAGAGAGAGAGAGAGAGAGAGGGAGGGAGAGAGGGAGGGGGAGAGAGAGAGAGACAGAGAGATAGAGACAGAGAGAGAGACAGAGAGAGAATGAGAGATTATACTGTGGAAGACCTAAGTCTATAACACAGACCACCAAAGCTTTCCACATGATGTCTATCTACAATTAGCGTGTGCATGCACACATACACACACCTGGAAGGTTCCGTCAAACAAAATGCTGCTATATGTTCTCCTGTGGCCAGTTTGGGCAAATATTTCTGCTTCTGCTCCTCTGTCCCAGCCAGCAGAATGGCCTGTTGGTGAGACAATCATTTTCAAAAAGGTTTTAGTAACAAGCGAAATGTGACGAAAGCTGGCACAGGTTACATGTAATAACAACCAAAACAAACTAGTGTCTGTGTGCGCTACCTTTTAGCTTTATTCCCGTGTCGGTTCCAAGGCTTGATTGTGGGGAAAAGAAGAATAGACCCACTTTCTCCCCCAAAAAGCATGTCGAGAGAGTAGACTATGGGGTTCCCTTCGAAGTCAGAGTGCATTTGCCTGACAAGCATGGAACCAACAGTCTGCATACAAATAAGTCAGATCTGTAAAACATGTGCATGCAACATTTGGGTTCTGGAACAAGTCTAATAAAGGCCAGTGGTGGGGGAACAACCAGAACTACCTACCGGAGTTTATAGCTGGTGAACATGAAAAAGAAGATTTTAGCTTCAATAAAAACATTTTATTCTCAAAGCTCTCAAGGATGCAGGACAAGAAAATGATTAGGGAGATGATGGTGAATCAGCAACACTCAAAAGACTTGTAGAACTTCAGGTCAAAAGAGGTGTCGCCAAACATGAACACTATACAGGTAGCCAAAGAAGCAAAGTAAACCAACCCAGAACTGATGGATAAGCTGATGTCAAGATCCGAACATTTATGGACTTGTCCGATGTGCAATGAGCATAATTTGTCAATGAACTACCTAACTAAAAACATTTAAAACAAGTTAAAAAAAAAAAAATAAGCAAACAAATCACAGCAATGTTTGTTGGCAGTACAACCCCCACCCTAACCCCCCATTATAGAATCCCCTACTCCCCGTGTGGGTTCTGGTGCTCCATTGGGGGGAGGGGAGGGGGGGGGGATTGAATAGACTCACTGCCCTCTTAACAACGCATGTCATAAAAGTTGACTAATTAGGGCTGTTTCCTTGAAGTAGGAGTCCATTTGCCTGAGAAGTGAGAAACCAACAGTCTGCACACAAATAAGCCAGATCTGTAAAAGAGATGTGCATGCAAAATTCAAGTTCTGGAACAAAGCTAAAGTTCAGAAGTGAACAAACAAACAGAACTTTCTGCTGGAGCTTACAGCTGGTGAAAGCAAAACAGAAGTAGAAAACTCCCAAGCATTCAGGATCAACAAAAACTACGTACCTTCAATCCTATGGATTGGTGAGCAGCAAGTGTCACAGCAATAGCTCCATCCCGCCCAGTCACTTCATTCACTCGAGCGTACTGTACGGCATTGAGACCTAGTCCACCTTAGCAACATAGGGCAGATCATCATTAAGTGTAAACAGTTGAACCAAAGAATAATTGATAGTCAAATACTGGCCACGATCTCTTCTATGGGATATGATTCTTCTTCTTCTTCTTTGTGATTTCACTGGCTATAAACTCCAGCGGAAAGTTCTGGGTTGTTTTTTTCAGTTCTGGACTTTGGTTTTGTTTTAGAACTTGAGTTTTGCATGCACATCCATTTTTACAGCTTACTTATATGCAGACTGTTGGTTCCTCACCTCTTAGGCTGATGTACTCCAATTTTGAAGAAAACAATCTTAATTAGTCCTCCTATGACATGATTGTTAAACAAGCAGAGGGTAAACTCCACCCCCCCCCCCCCCCCCCCCCCCCATCGCACCACCCCCAACCCCCATTAATGGTGCTCCGGGAACTTACACAGGGAAAACACAAGTTTAACAGTAGCCTTCTTTTGTTGAATGAATTTGTGCTACGGCTGAGGGGAAAAAGCAACAAACAGTCGTCCTGGGAAAAGATGAAAGTCCTAAACTAATTAGAGAAGTCCCTGAGTAGGTTCCGGGGCCCCATTATAGGGGGAAAACAAGAATAGACCCACTGCCTCTCCAACAAGCATGTTATAAAAGTCGACTAACTGAGAGCTTCCTTCGAAGTCACAGTGCATCTGCCCGAGTGGCAAAGAACCAACAGTCTGCATACTATTAAGTCAGATATGTGAAACAAATGTGCACACAACACTCAGGTTCTGGAGCCAGACCAAAGCCCATATGTGCACATACAACCAGAACTTTCCGCCAGAAGTAGAAGAAGGAGAAGAAGAAGACTTAAGGCATTAGATATAAATTAGATATATACAGTCAATAGTTTTTCAGACATGTTATCACAAGGAATGGACTCAAGAACTTGGTAACGACTGGTAAGAGTGATGGGAAAAAAAAAGCAGGTGGATGGCAAAGAGATAAATACCTGGATGGTTTGGTCACAGATGGGGAGTGAGACAGAAACAGTGAGCTGATCCGTGATACTGGCGATCATGTGAAATGGCAAAACATGAGAGTCTATGTTGATCAGCATGGCACACGATGATTAAACAGATAAACAATTCTGAATGGGCAGAGGGAACAACCCTGCCATACATTTTTTTTAAAAACCAAATAGAGTCCCTACAAATATCCCACATCCTTTTCTCTCTAATACACACATATAGTTGAAAGAAAAAAGTCAGTTGCGTATACTTCACAGGATGTTGCAGAAACAGCTCCAGTATTTTTTGTCTGTTGTGGTTTGTCTAGGCAAATTTTACGTTCACCGCTGCTTTCTGAATGGTCAGCTTTAGGTACCACTGTCGAAACCAACACCAAATCGCCTGCAGCTAGGACTGAACCAGGCACCTCAGCATTACGAAGCACGTTTGCAACCCCTAGGTCACAGACACAAAGTATAAACGATGACTGTTTTCTAACATTGCTTGTGACAGCTGGTGAGCCAGTTCTATTGTCACTGATGTCCCTCCATCATGGAAATGGTGCAAAGATGCAACAGACTAAATATTAGCAATAGCAACCACACTGAAATATCTGAAGACAGAGAAGGCTGAAGAATTTTGATCGTCAAGGTCTGCTCCAGATCAAAACTGCCATTATGTTGGAGGCAATTTTGCAGTGCAGACTTTTGAGAGAGCCACCTGGCTAGTCTGTGGCCACGGACTGTGCAGGTCAGGATGTTATTTTTGTCCCAACCGAGGATTTAAACCTGGTCTCTTGCATGAAAGCCTAGTGATCTTAACCATTTGGCCAGCCGCTCCTCACCAGACAGAGATGAGGGGGAAAAAAATGAGAAGATTTAATTGCACAGTTTCAATATTCCGTTTTTATTTAAATTCACGCCCCAACTGCTGAACTGACCACACAGAATTAACACCAAAAACGTACCATACTGCTCTGGAATCAGCAACCCAAAAAGACCCAAGTCTTTGACTTGCTGTAAGACATCATCAGGAATCTTGGCATTCTCATCGATTGACCTGGAGTCCACTGTAAACAGAAACATCTATTCATGTACACCTGGGCTATTCCACCGTTGGCTCAATATGGTCTACAGGGGTTTACCAAGTTGCACAGGATCACTGCCAATTGTATTCTGTTAACCCTTTGAAGATGGAGCCTTTTTTTTTTTTTTTTAGTTTCAGTGCCAAGAAGACACAGATTAAGGTGGGCATTCTCTTAGTTTACACACATGAAAATTATATACAAAAAAATAAAATAAAGTGTTTAATTAACATATTCAAAACTATATACATGTATATTTGTGTAAGAAAATGAATGAACTTACACAATCTTTATGAATGACACTGACATCTTAACATTTATTCAAATTAGCTATTAAATTAGCATAGTTATGGATGCATTTTTTTAAAATTACTTAGGACAAACATGACTAAATTGAACAATTTGGCTAAATTTCCTAATGAGTGAAGCCTAAATTAGTCCCAACACTTGTGTCTTGGAAAGTAAGACCCATGTACCAGACCCATCCAGATACCCCTGGCTCATGGTTCTAGTCATCAATTTCCCCCCCCCCCCCCACACACACACACACACAAAAATTGATGTAAAATGACAGAACACATCAAACTTTCACGAAAGCCACCAATGAACAGCCTACACGTGCAAGAAATGTAACAAAACAAAAAATCTGACAGACTGGTATGAAAACGTGCCAGTCAATATCATCATAATCATCATGTAGCAGGTCATTTGCAGAACGTCGCTCTCATCACAAACTGCCTGAAAAAAAAAAAAAAAAAAAAAATTCTGTCTCTCGCCAGCTTTCCCACCTCATGCACTTTCATACTCAAGGAGTCACTTATATCCTGTGCCCCTCTTCGTGTTGGTCGGCATCTGCACCTCCTTCCTGATACCCTGCCTTCTGTTATAATTTGTTCCAATCCGTCGTGGTGCTTGATATGACCAACCAAAATATTTCAGCTTCTCAGTCAATACCAGGGCTTGTAATACAGGGCCGACGGATCGGCCCGGCCGTCTTTTTGGCTGCTCTGCTGTTGAGCTGATAGATCGACCAAGTCGTCTGTAAAACTGTAAATGACTTTTCTATGCATAGTCTTGGATCTCTGGCCAGTGACAATCCCCATTTCCAACCTGTTTATCCCTGATTAAACCTTTACAGTAAACTTAATTGAATAGCGCCAATGTCAACAATCCTAAATCCAAACTCAACATCCTTGCTGTGATTTCAGCTAGCAGTTGTTCACTGTCTTGCAAAACACCTTCTGTGTTCACATTGAGTGTTTCAACTATTGAAAGCCTTAAAGTCAGTAGATCTGCTCTCTCATTCCAGCACATCCCAGATAATATATCTAGGTTAAGTAACCAGTAATCTGCTATTCCTTCTTCTTCTTCTGTTCTTTCTCCTTGCCTGTGGTTTTCAGATGAAAAGGCCACAGGTTTCTATGAAGAGACTGAGTTGTGATGCATGTTTTCCAATGTGATCCATACAGTTTGGTTTGCATTGGAATGCCAACAGGATAAACCTGAGATCTCACAAAACCTGCTATTCCAAAGAAGGATGTCTTCGTGAAAGGCAGAGCTTTCACCCTGATACATGCCATCGCCACTGCCGGGTGTATATCAAACAGAACACCACCACCTAGCAAGTGTCTGCAGAACAGTTGCTCTCATTTCCACACTCAGGATATAATCTCAATCTTATGCCAGTTTTCCCGGTGGCTTGGTCACTATGGGCCCAAAGGTGGTGGGTTCAAACCCGTATCAAGTCAGACTTTTTAAAATTACTCAGCCTAAAATGGTTCTGGGAACTAAAGGCGGCCGGGGTGATGTTGACCACATCACCCATCAAGTACACACTGGTCTATAAAATATAGGTCTAGCCCTATATATGAAACAGGCCTAAGAGGGAGGAAAAGTGTCCTTAACTTTTTACACATTTCCATTACTAGGGGCCCTCGTGTGAGTTTTAGGGCCCTATTTTACACATTTCCATTACTAGGGGTCCTCGTGTGAGTTTTAGGGCCCTATTTTACACATTTCCATTACTAGGGGCCCTCGTGTGAGTTTTAGGGCCCTATTTTACACATTTCCATTACTAGGGGTCCTCGTGTGAGTTTTAGGGCCCTATTTTACACATTTCCATTACTAGGGGCCCTCGTGTGAGTTTTAGGGCCCTATTTTAGGGGAACACAAGCAGGTTGTAAAGGCGATTAATCAGGGGTGTTTCCTTTGAAGTTGGAGTACATGTGCTCGCAAAGCAAGAAACCAACAATCTGCAAACAAGCCAGATCTGAAAAACATGCAAAACTCGAGTTCTGAAACAAGACCATAGTCCAGAAATGGATGAACAATCAGAAATTTATGCTGAACTTTACAGCTGGTGAACAAGTAGGCTCTATAGTAAACAGCAATGGCTAATTTGCAAAGATTAAAAAGCGTTAAATGCCTATGGTTAAACACCAGTAAGGAAATCAGGGCCAACATTTTGACAGCATGCATTACCCCCTCATCCCCAGCAAGATAAAGATGTGAGTCGTGGACTGTCTTGCAGTCATTTAGGAAGACAATAGGAGCTTCTGTGCTCAAATGCTATAGCAAGATTCAAAGAAGGGAAGAAATACTGATATTCTAGAAGATCTGAACATCAAGAAATATTGGCTAATAAACAGCATCTTGTCTCAGAAACTGAAATATTTTGGTCACAATAAGTGCCAGAGCTGACTGGAAAGAATAATAGCAGAATGCATGGTATCAGGAAAGAGGGTCAGGAGCTGATCAGCATAAAGCTCAGTACAGGATACAAATCTGCAAAGGACCTGCTTCATGAATACAAACATAGGTTTCAGGACAGCAAACAGTAACATAAGATTCAGGACCAAAAAAAAAAAAAAAACATATGATTCAGGACAGCAAATACAAATGTAAGATTCAGGACACAAAATACAAACATAAGATTCAGGACAGCAATTACAAACATAAGATTCAGGACATAAAATACAACATAAGATTCAGGACAGCAATTACAAACATAAGATTCAGGACATAAAATACAAACATAAGATTCAGGACAGCAAGTACAAACATAAGATTCAGGACATAAAATACAAACATAAGATTCAGGGCAGCAATTACAAACATAAGATTCAGGACAGCAATTACAAACATAAGATTCAGGACATAAAATACAAACATAAGATTCAGGACAGCAATTACAAACATAAGATTCAGGACATAAAATACGAACATAAGATTCAGGACAGCAAGTACAAACATAAGATTCAGGACATAAAATACAAACATAAGATTCAGGACATAAAATACAAACATAAGATTCAGGACATAAAATACAAACATAAGATTCAGGACAACAATTACAAACATAAGATTCAGGACAGCAATTACAAACATAAGATTCGGGACAGCAAGTACAAACATATTCAGGACATCAAATACAAAGATATGAGTAAAAAAATGAAGTATCATCAACAATACTGGTGAGACTAGCTGAAGAATGGACAAGAAGGCCTGACTTACAGGTGTCATAGAACCTTTCAATAGGAGCCACCAGCTCATTGATCTGCTCTAGCTCTTGTTTACTGACTTGGGGGTACACCAGAAAGATCTGCAACAGACAAGACATGACCCATCTATACTCTTTGTATGGATACAAATTTGCTGTCTCTTTGTTTATGTTTTAAAATAGACATGTTTGTTAGTATCTGTAAATATGTTAAATACTGGCTTAGTCGATCCTCTTCTATCATGGGGTGTAGAGGTTTGCCAGAGAGATCAGGGGACGTTTCTATCATTCCCCCCCCCCCCCCCCAGGTTTTGCTCCATTCCAGTGCTCTGTTCAGGCAGGGATTGTCGGATATTGTCTTCCCAGTGGAGCCTGGGTCGCCCTGGAGGTCTGGTTCCCTGATTCTTGGCCGCCCATTCCTGCCATCGTGGTCGACTGTCCCATTTCGCACACAGGTTCAAATGCCCATAATCTGCCTCTGGCTTCCCTTGAGGGTCAACCAGGCTTCACATAGTTACTTTGGATGGATTCTTCAAGAGCAAAAACCATAAACAAAGGGACAAAAAGGACACCATACACATTAGGGCTGTACCGAATAGTCATTTTCACTATTCGGCCGAATACAAATAACGGGAACAACTATTCGGCCGAATACAAATAGTGTATAGTGTATAAAATATATCTTTTTAAAAAAACACATGTACGCTGAACTTTTACATCACATAAAGTAACACAGAATAGTCATCTTCTTCTTTAGCATTCTGAGCCCTTGAGGTTTATTGCTGCAGATATCACTCATCTCCATTCATCTCTCTGGCTGGCCTTCTCTTCACAATTTGTGACACCAGTCTGGCTGGACATTGTCTCTCGAACTTTTTTGTCTGCCTCGTGGTCTACGCCCATTCCTCTCTCAGGCGTATACAGTTTTTCTTCTCTGTCATATGACATTCTTTCTATATGCCGAAACCATTTTAGTCTGTTAGCTCTCATGATGCCAGTGATCAATGGTGATTTAAACAGATTATGTGTTACGTTGTTGTTTCTCACTCTCCATTCCCTGCTGTTAGCATCTTTGATGGGTCTAGAGATTTGTCGTAAGACTGTTTTCAAAAACCTGTAATAAACCTGCTTCAAGTTTCAAAGCAATATAAAACGACTGGTCTCATGAACGTTTCATATATTTTGATCTTGGCGTTGCAAGACAGACACTGACTTTATCAGATGGTGAAGGGCATAGTATATTTTATTTCTAGATTGTATTCTAGATTGTATTTCTTATCTCAGCATGTTGGAGCAGTTTAAGTTTGCACCCAAGTACTTATATGTTTCTGTTCGTTTGATTTTCATATTATCGATTTGGACGTGGCTGAAGTTTATATTCTTTCCATGTCTAGTTAGTATTCGTACAGAATATTAAACATTTTAAAACATTGAATGTTTTGCATCCTCAAGTAAGTCTGTGGTAACTAATAACTAGGAATGAAAGAATCCTAAGTATTATAACTTAGTATTATAAACTTAGAAATTGTCACTGACAGCTTAGTTCATGCAGGAAAGCTGCATTAGCTTTCAACAAAACCAATCATTCCATGTTGTCAGTTTTAAGGCCGTGTATGGAAAAGAGGGTGTAAGGTAACTAGTATTCGTATTCGGCCCGATCGCAACTATTCCGCCGAATATGGAATAGTCAATAGGTCCACTATTCGGCCCGGAAGCGAATATTCGGTACAGCCCTAATACAAATAGGTTAGATGTGTTGGCCGAAGGGCACAACTATCGGTTATGCTGTAAGCAGGCATAGCGCAATTATTCAATTTGAATAAAGGATTAAAAAAAAAGATGTCATATTACACAAACAAGACACTTACCGGATCTAACTTTCCCAGGAAGAAATTTTGTACCAGTGGTTCTGTCAGTTTGGGTTTAAGTTCTGCCTTAAATGTTCCAACTTCTCCCAACGGTTCCTTCTGTGTAACGGCATCACTCTTGTGTTTATCCACTACAGATGACCCTGACCCCGAAGCATAAAATCTTTGGGCATGATGTCTGATGAGTCGCCAGTAATGTGATACTTGTCGGTCAGCCCTTGAAAACAGTTGGCCGTTACGATGAAGTAGTCGCAGACAATGACACGGGGTCAGCTTGCTGGATACTAACATTGTAACTGCTGACAGAGGACGGTGTAGACACTAGAGAAGGTTTCGCTGATCACAGTAAATCTGGCACCATGCGGAGTTAGTGATTTGTGCTGAAAACAGAAAATAAACATTAGCTTACCATCTACTTTAACGGTTTCCAAAACAGAGAAGATCTTAAAACAGCCTGCCATGGACCCAAAACTTTTTTAATAGTCCAGTTGTTTTGTTAAAAAAAACAAGAAACAAAAAAAAAAACAGGACAAATTGTAAAAATGTTAAAAAAAAAAAAAAAAAAAAAAAAAGATTTGAGATCTACAGGACAACCTAGGGTTGGCTGTAAAGATAATATCAAAGCGTCTCTGGCTGAAAGAGAGCTGGAATGGAACAAAGCCAAAAACTGATCAAGAAGTGGCAATCTCTGGATAACTGGGGAGGGGGGTCAGCAAAAGAAGAGGTCAGCAAAGAAGAACCTGGAACTACAACATCAAGAAAAAAACAGGACTATATTATGATGCATTTGCTGAACACAGGGAAGACAGAGAAAGAATGCGGGTTTGATGTGCTAGTGCTTCCACTGACACACACCTCTATGACTTTAACGGGTCAAGGGCTATATTATGTTATCTTACAGCTGCACATACCATGTCCTCTCTCATGCTGAATATATGTGTTTGAACTAAGCCTATCCCCGTGATGATTCTGGTGCCCATTTGTAGCAGGGGGACAAGAACAGACCCCCCCCCCGCCAAACAAGTATGTCATAGGAGTCAACTAACTGGGGGCTTCTTTGGAAGTTGGAGTGCTTCTGCGTGAGAGGCAAGGAACCAGGTCTGCTCACAATTGAGAAAATATATGTAAAATGATGCATGTATGACTCAGGTTCTGTAACAGGAGGTTTTCTCTGCAGTTTCCATTCTGAATACAAAGAACCTGCTACTGATGACCACTGTTTCCTGCTTAATTTTTGACATTCCTATGATAGTTTTTTGTTTTGTTTTTTATTAGCATTATATGTGCCTTTCAAAAAGAATTTTTTTTTTCTACAGTTACAACAGTCTTAAATGATAAACCCTTGGATTACTGTTTTTGCAAGTAAAATTTGGTGGACATAAACCTTTACGAAAAAAGTTCCTAATAAACCGACTTGACAATGATAACTCAGCCAGCCACAGACCTGACGAACTTTGTAGCACCATTCACTTTATTCATGAAAGTTACACACACACATGGAAGTTTCACAGTATGTGTGTGCAGAACTCTAAAAATCACTCAAACTAGCAACGACACACACATTTAAATTCTCTGCAATTAATTTTAATGTTAATGAAATGTCTCCTCTCTTATTTACTATATGCACAGACAGTGTATCAAAAGAAGCCAGCTTTATAGCAGTCAATCCAGAAATTAGGAACTTTGCTTTCAGGAGGAAGAATTGGATCCATACACAATAAACACGCTACTATGTGTGAATCTTCAGTGCTTATTCTACAATGAGGGGAATAGACTGCAAGAACATTTGAACAGGCTACGTTCAACATGCAGAAGATATAACATGACAATAAATACTACTAAAGGCTCTCCTCCGAACGGCATCATAATTATTAAGGTGGCCATAAAATATCAAAAAATATCCGAATGGGGCTCAGTTCTATTAAAAATATGCCGGCTCCGTATAACGAAACAAATGCTCTAACAGGGTCACAGCTATATGTTACTTGCGGACCTGTTTCTGTGACTGTGCCTCACCGCCAACTGTATCCCCCACGCGGATGGGGGCTAAACTAGATGGCTGGGACTCATGAGCAGCAGCTACCGCATCTCCTCCAACTAATTTGCTTGTGAGTCCCAGGCACCTAGTTTAGCCCCCATCCGCGCCGCTCCGCGCGTAGCGGCGCAGGGGATACGCTCGGCGGTAAGTTTAATCGCGTTTTGCGCATGCCGAAAAGTGTGAGGATACAGGTCGGCAGGTCTGATATCTACCGCTGCCAAATCCTCAATTGGACAAACAGTTTTGCTAATCTGCGTCGAAGAGTATGGTACCCGCCATATCGCTTTCATCGTCTGTAATGTCTCGAAATAGTCAACGGTCGCTAATATCGTCTGCAGAAACGCTTCAAATTGTCAACGGCCGGTATTTATCGTCTGCTACTACCGTGTGCAATGTTCATATTGTCAAGTAATCCTAGTTTTGCTGCGATTTGTTCCTTGGCAGACAGTCCGTATTTTAGACATGCCTGAGCCCCATTCGGATATTTTTGGATATTTTATGGCCGCCATATTATGATGCCGTTCGGAGGAGAGCCCTACTAAAACTTAAGTAAAGCAGGTCAGCAAAATTCCTAGTCCACTAAATAAATTGTTGAATAGTACTTGTCTGAAGCAAGTTAAAGAATTTAAATATCTTGGAAGTATATTCTTGGAGGAGGAGAGACTAGATCAGGAAATAAATGCCAATGAGTCAGTGCACTTATATATTGAATGACACCATTACCAAGACATCCAAACATAAGTATGAGCACCAAGAAATAGATTATAAACAGCATATTCATACCAACAACGGGTTTCCAGTGAAAGACTTAGACATTATTAAAGGCTAACCTACTTTAAATTAACATCCGTGAAATCAGATGCACGAGAAAAGCCGCCAACTTAACCATCTGAGACAAAGTTAGAAATGATATTATCAGACACACTGTGGGAACAACACCATGCAGCACATTTTTTAGAAACAGAAGATGAAATGGTTTGGCCAACTAGTAAGAATGCATCCAGAACAACTACCATTACCTAGCGACTACAGTTTCGACAATTTGCAGTCTTTTTGGCAATTTCCGTTACCATGGAAACCGTTTGAAACTTGTTTGGGAAATGTCGGCTGGGGTTTCGGGATGGGTCCTAATCTCTCATGAAATTTTGCGATTTTCACCAGCTATGAATAGCCGAAAACGGCAGGAACGAACCCGATTAACAGCGCATGTCTATGACAGCCGGACGTCCTCTGTTTTTCTGTTACATCGGTTTGACTGAAAATAGCGCTAAGTATCCACGGTTGGCTTTAAGGCCTTAAACATTACCAGACATGGTAATGCTAGTTATAATTGAATTCTCCGTCCAATTTTACATATGTGTATAAAATTTCTTTCTTATCTGTGGCTGTTTCATTTTACAGTGACATTTTTCATGCAGTCGCTATTATGTGGCTGTGTCTGAGAAAAATTCTCTGCCATCCTGTCCAATGAAAACAAAGCAAAAACGAAAGTTGCGCAGTTTGGTTGCGCAGAGAAAACTTCTTGTTTCTCAGACACAAGTTTTAGCAGTTGTTTTTTTACATCTCATCTCCACAAAAAGCTACATATATCAGCTCAGAAATGACATACAAGGCTAAATGAGGTACCATTGGAAAGAGATTGTTTACAGCTATCTAACTGTGCTGGTTTTATTGGTGTTGAGGGCATTTTAAAAATTTGACTAAAGTACCTAATCATTACCAACGGTGGGGCTACACATGAAAAGATCTGATGTGAAAGCAAGAGTCTGCACTAGGAATATATGGACTGATGAAATTGAAGAGCTTCTACATCGACATGGAATGACAACAGCTAATGCTGCCCATCAAGCAATGAATCACAAATTATTTGTCCCCACGGCGCTTAGCGTCAGAAGTAGAAACTGACGATGTATATGAATGTCCGACCAGACCCAGGGTCGTTCCAGTTCAACTCAAGGATGGGACAATTCACAGCTGTCTCAGAATCCAGATATTTATCCACCTTCTGTGACGACAGACAGGTGCAATAGTTCAACTCAAAGTCGGTCCGATCAAAGTCCAAAGTCCACAGACTATCAAGTTTTCTGTGAAGTCGAAACTTACCTCCCCAAGTTCACAGAGAGAATCAAGACCGGCTGCTAGAAGACATGACGAGCTTAATGCTCCCCTCACACAGAAGAGTTCCGTACTCTCCCGGACTGACAGACGTTCGCCTTCTTTCACAGCCATTCTTCAATACCTTAATGGAGTGAACGCAAAGAAGCAGCAGCAGAAGAATGCCATAACTTCCAACGTGCGGGTTCCGAGGGGGGGGGGGGCGGGTGAGGGGGAGTCGACCCACTGCCTCCGACAAGCATGTCTTAAACGGCGAGTAATCAAGAGTGATTCCTTCGAAGTCGGAGGACATCTTCCCAAGCGTTCGCGTGTTTCGAAACACAAAGCTGTACCTGCACATGTGTACTCAGTGATTCAATGAGTATGATTTGGCTGGTTCATGCAGGTTCGTTGCGAACGCAATGGCTAAAGTCATTTCACATAAATAAACAGAGGGGGAATCAATGACGCCGTATAAATATTTAAGGTATATAATTAACTAAAAAGACAATGCATTGACCGGCACTCATAGAAAGAATTAGAAAGATAGAAGGGCACACTAGACAACATAAAAATCAAAAGCTATAGTTGCGGTGACGAGAATCGAACCTGTCGCCCCCAAAAGTGCGCCTCGCTATGTAGTCATTACAGAAGTCCACTGTGCGTGGATCCATCTTTATATTCGTGCCGGGAGACGCCGGCGTCGATGGAAATGAAAGAGCTGATGGGTAGGCTAGATCCGCTATCTCTACCGATGGCCCAGCTTTGGATCATGCTAATATTATTGATGCGCTTCGAGAAGTGGAAAGGGTGGAGGGCATTACGGGCAGTGAATCTACATCACTCGCCAGAAGGACAGACTTAGGAATTAAGATCAGCATAGCAAAAAACGAGGCACCAGGCACATCATAGAACTTATTAATCAACACAGAACTGGTGCTATTAGCTACCGGACGCTGGGGTTCATACTCAGGCGAGGATCTGAACACCTATGGACAACTACCCTTCTAAGCAGCGAGGGAAAAATAAATTTAAAAAAACCACCTTTTGTTGAAGAGAAATATATTAGCTGCATATTTTGTGAATGATCACAAAGGAGCCATCGGTATAACTTTTTTGTGGGCATTGACCTTAGTGTTCATTTAAAGGTGCCTTAAATATTATTATTTCCACACTCACTAAAACGGTGGTCTCCAACGGGAAGGGGAGGGGGGGGGGCGTGAGAAGGTTTTAAGGGTGAGGGAGGGGGGGGGGCGTGAGAAGGTTTTAAGGGTGAGGGAGGGGGAGGGGTGAGAAGGTTTCAGGGGGGAGGGGAAGCTTGAGGAGGTTTTAAGGGTGGGGAAGGCCTGAGGAGGTTTCGATGGGGGCATCAATCAGTTTTGAAACTGAGTGCATTTGTACTTGTCATAATTTATTTACTAACATTTTTTTCCCCAGTATTATAAGTAATAAAAATATTTTTAAAAACAATTTCTTTAAAAAAAAAAAAATGGCATAATTTTGTCATGAGCAGTTTCTAAATGTACAGGTCAAATTTGCTTTCCAAGACTTTAATTAGTGCCCATCTACGGCTGGGTCGACCTGGGAGCCAAGGTCATTAAAAAACTAGAACTCCGGCACTCTTTGCATTTGAACCCGTGACCTTCGGATCGACAGACAGACGTCTAGCCGCTACACGACGGTTGCTCCCATATATGCTATAAGCATCAAGTCAAATACACAAAAACATCTGTCCATCCATCCACCCACACACTCATACACACACACACACACACTTACACACACGCACATATACAGACTCACATACATACATAATAATACATACACACCACACACATACAAATCACACACACATATACATTCAGAAAGGCACAGAGAGAGGTCCCCTGTTCACACCGATCCAGAATATCTGACATCTATAGTTAATGCACGCTTTATTTGCTCTAATTATTCAGTACAAAATATTTTACTCTATTCGACTCCAGCACCAGTTATTTTTGAATTTGAATTTTTTTATATTTCACTATATAACGTACAAAAACCTAGCATCCGTTGAATCCTATTTTATGAACACAATGTTGATTGTTAATGTATTGTTATCCGTGAAGCATGTTAGTTTTATGTTCAGGAAAATAAACAGATGTTGAATGTGTTGAATAAGGTTAGTTGCGTATCCTTTACAGAAGGTTGCAGAACCAACCCCAGCAGCCCCTGGCTGTTGTGTGGTTTCTCTAGGCAAATTTACGTCCAGTAGTTTGCCATTGATTTCTGGACAGTCGGCCCCTCTGATACCACTGTCGAAACCAACGCAAGGCGCATGGCTCGCAGCAGGGA